AGTCTCAAGTGACTTTGACAGGGGTGGTTCTTTAGCAACTTGTCAGTGATCAGAGAACAGAAGCCAAAATTCACTTCGGTTTCTAATGGACTCCAGATTGGACTTACATGGAAGGTATTTGCCTGCCTTGTGCCTGGGTCAATCAAGGAGAAACATAATCAAAAGATGAGTGTTCATTACGAACGGAAACATTTCCATAATAAAGTTCAGTGTGACTTCTAGCTGGCTGCCAGTTGTGAAATGTCTCAGAGGTGATCAGCCACAAATTGCACTGACGTGTTTGGGTAAGGAAGAAGTCTCTAACATGCGTGGGGACAACAAACATTGATCTGGACTCCCATAACTACTTTGACCCTCTGCCTTTCAGAGGAGAGACTCATGCTTCTTCACTTCAGGCATATTTCTACTATGCCAGAAATGGAGATATCCAGCCCACACAGTGTGCTGCTATCAAATGCACGCTGATCACCCAGCCTGGTGCACAGGATGTTTCCTCTTCAGATGTCTTTTTGGCCTGAATACTGAGCAAGCTCAACTTCTGCAGAAATAATTAATATCTCGTCTCTGCCAAAATTGCAAAAGTTTAAACAAACTGGTTCTCACTGCCTCCCCCCAGAGCCCCGTCTCCACTTCTCATCCTGATACCTTATCGTGCTATGGACAGGATGTTTTACATTGCTTTCTCTATGGTGACCACACAAACATCCTGTCACTATCAAAAGCCCTTGGAGTGTTACCGTCTTGCAGAGCCTTTGATCTGTGCTTGGATAATCAAAGATAAAAATAGGCTCCTCCCATCCTGCTTTATATCTAGCAGTCTTGGTTTAATAAATGGTGCATGTTGACCACTGTACACTCAAAAAGCAGCAAATGTTTTTGCAAAGACTGGGATAAAGGCTTGGATCCTGGTCACCAAACACAAGATATGCAGTTTGGGTATTGTCCCACGCAGTCTCAAACTGTGCCATAGGGAACACAGGTGTGCATGGAGTTGGTTTTTGTTCTTCATTAAAGTCATTTCATGAAAATGATTTGTCAGCCATGTTACACATCTTGCTCCAAACACTCCTGAGCAGCCTGACGTTTGCTCCATGCTGTTCTCATAAGTGAGGCATTATGAGCATCAAAGTGACTTCCAGTATTGGTAGACAGATGGGTCTTGTCCTTTACCTTCTATTATCTGAGATCAAACTTGAAAGCCCGATAGCTTTGTAGATTGTGCTGGGGCTTGTCAATGTGTGCTTAGGCAGCTACTGATTTTTATTTTTTTAGATTAATGTATCCGATATAGGATGCAATAGGAGGCTTGATGGAATCTCAAAGCCCCTTCAGCTGAGTTGTGAGTTTTGTTCAGTTTTTTTAATGGACGTCCTTAAAACCATCTTCATCTCTAAGTATAACCCACACACTGAGGCAAACTTGGTATCTTTTGAGATGCAATAGTTTTCCAAAGACTGGTAGAACTGCCAGGGGCAGAAAGTTCCTTCACAACATTATGTGTAGTCCCCAAAACTCGTGGTGAGACGACGAGTCAAAGAGGAGACTCCTACATGGAGCAGGGAGAGCAACATGTGCCTGGTCTGGTTTGGAGACACAAAGGGACCTCTAACACTGCCATTAGCAGAGCTTCATGTGATGATGGAATCTAATCTCTCATCTTGTCTCATTTTGAACATCTTTCTCCAAGGTTTTGATGTAATCACGTTGTTGGGGTGTGCTGTGCTGGTCTTCTGCATCCCCACCAGCATGCAAATTGAATTCACTGGGGGCAGATGGGGAACCAACAAAGCTTTCAGACTTCTGTTCTGCTTTGGAGATCAAGACTTAGCTTTTGATGTTGGGTCAGCAGAAAGAGAATTTCTTTGGAGACGTAGATACAAATGTTGTCTGCAGTAAGAAACAAAGCTAGCTTTATGGTTTAATCTCCTGCTTAAGGCCATGTTACAAAATCATAGCTTGCTCTTTGCAATTTGTGACTTTCAGGAATGCTGAGGAGAAGTCTAGGCTTAGAACACCAGCAGTACAGCAAGTGTCCTGCAGCACTGGGCTGAGCATTCATAATTATTAAGTTAACTGGGGTATTTTGAGAGCCTCACACTGCAGGTCAGGGATGTCAGGGTTGGGTTGAGGTTTGTGAGCCACTTTCCAGTAGATCCTTGGCACTGCTGGGCCTCTGCCACTGCAGGGGGTCACAGCTTTTCCTGCACTGCTACCTTGCAGTGGGAGTGCTTGCAGTTTGCCTCTTCTAGGACGCATCACTTTGTCCAACACGTGTCATGCAAAGGCTTGGCAGCAATTTCAAGCAGTTTCTCTTACCTTTAAATTACAAATCTATGGCTTTGCTCTGCTGGTTTTTGAAACCTTCTTTGGCCTTAGTTCAGGATCCTTCAGGTTATCACGAATCTTTTTGTTGCTGGTGCTGGCTTCGAAACATGGGATCTGTCTCTGCCCTCTTCTGTTTGTTGTTGCCCTTCCGGATCTGTCTTGTAGTAATTCACTGTGCTCATTCACCCCTGCCAGATGAAAGTGAGCTGAACAGACAGAACTAGGTAATAATTCCAAGTTATTAGGGAGTGCTCTTCATCCCGACCGTCTGAGCTGATGCTATCTTTCTTCATACAACAGCTGCTCTGAAAGTAATGCCTCCTCTTTTACTGTGCTGGCCCTTGATGTTGGAGGCGCATGTGGGTGGGATGACAGCAGAGGTTGAACCTTCCCACTGATGTTCCATTAAATTCTGTTGCCGTGTGATAGCTGACAGCAGAGGGGTAGTCTGAAAAATTGCTGTCTAATATAGAGGCGTGTATGGAGCAAAGGTGTGGAATTGAGTTCCTCCATGTGGAAAAAATGGCACCCGTTGACATTCATCCAAGCTTGTGAGCAGTGATGGAAAGCAAGCAGTGGATGTGAGCACCAATCATACATCTCCTAGATGGTGCCAGTGCTGAACTTCATGACTTCTCTCAGGGGAAGAGAAGGAGCTGTTCTCTTTCCTCCATCATGTATCTTCTGCGAGTTGCAGTCAGATGTGTGCTATCACATGCATTTTCTGGCTCTGCCTGCTTCTCCCAGTGATTGTTCCAGAAGCAGAAAAACATGCTGGAAGAGTCACTGCTTTTCTCCTTTTTATTTGATGTTCTTTGCTGGTACTCTGCAGAGCCATTTAGATAAGGGGATTTATCAAGCTTGAACTAATTAACCCTGAATGCAGGAAGTCAGAATGGAGCGTTCAGCTGTGAAATCCTCAGGCTTATCCTGAAGCACACATGGGTCTGAAGGAATTTCCTATCTCCCTTCCCGTGTCGGCGAATCACTGTGGTGGAGTTTTGCCTTTGCCTTAATGGACTTCTCTTGCTGATGTGCCTTGAGGGTGATTTGTTGGCAGGTCCATTCTGTAAGCCAGGCTGCTTGTAGTGGCATCATGTGCAGCAAGGGCTGTCTCTGCTCCAAGGTTCCTGTGCCTAGAGTTTTTTTTCCTTTACTTGTGAGAGAGGGTTGATTTTGCCTGCAGGATGATGCTTTAGAAGTTGTTGCCAATTGCTTTCTCAATGCAGAATTGGCAGCCAAAGCAGTGACTTCATATAAAAAAGGAGGAAAGAGGCTACCTGAAAGGTCACGATAGGAACAAAATGATCACTGCTTTTTCTGCAAGGGCAGTTGGTGCCTTGGGAGCATTCTCAGCCTTGTTTCATGTTGCTGTGAGTCAGGTGGGTCTTAAGAGAAGAGCAGTCCAAGGCAGAGTTTGTAGCATCTCAGTCTGTAATTCGTCGGCGTTCCCTGGCTGTACTTGGTGCTGTCAGACTGCCTGGGAAGTGCATCAAGGCTCAGATCCCCAATGTATCCCACTGCCAGGGTTACACAGTGATCCAGAGAGAGCTTCTGAGGCAGATCCAGAAGAGAGACCTCCGTGACACACATCTGGAAACAGTGAAAAACACGAGGGCTTCCAGCAGAATGGAAGCCAGAAAAGAAAAAACGTGGTGCCTACTCCAAGTGCCAATCTCTTGTCAGCACCAGCAGAGCAGAAGTGCTGGTTCACATGGGAACCCTTCCATTCCTACGGAGGCAAAATGGTTCCTCTGTTAGAGGAGAGGACGAAGGGGTGGGAGGGAGCAACGTCATTTCATCATACGAGGATCAGCCACACTTTCATCTCTGTGAAGAACTGCAGTTCCAGATTTAGTATGTTCTTCTGGCACCAAACCGTCTGAACGTTTCTCTTACTCCATTGCAAAGGTTGCAAGTGTGGATGATGAGACCCCTGCTCGTGCAGTGCAGAGCTTTCCCCTGAGGACCAGGCCTCTGATAAAAGCACAGGGTCGCAACCAGGAAGGGACAGGCTCTCACGGAGATGTTCTTGATAGCCTCAAAAGGGTGCAGAATTGCTGTGTGTCTGCCTGTGGGCTGCTGGGAAAATAGCACCATCTTATCTCTGAGGGGTGGAGTGAGCGTAGTTCTGTGAATGTCTGAGAAGACCACAGTGGCATACAATGGTACTTTGGTGTTGTTGCTGGGATTACATGCAGAGAGTGTTTTTCCTTTCTCACCTGTGTATTTCTATGGGAGCAGAACTGCTTGCTTCATTGTGAACCACACTGGGGAAACAGAGGTGGTCTGGGTTAAGGCAGTAAACAAGCAAAAGAAAGAAAGAAAAAAAGAAGAAAAAGAAAGAACACTTTCTGATAGGATTATTTCAAGGTGGATCTGTTCCCTGCACCATCTGCAATGCAGATGCACAAGTAGCTGTTCCAGCACATGTGAGACAGGCGGGGGTTGGCAGGGAGGCGACATGTGCTGAGCGAGCCATACCTTAAGCTGCTGTTGCTGTCAGAAGCATCTCGCTGAACTGGACCCAGATCCTCTTGGCAAGTGCACATCCACATGCAGAGAAAGAGCCCATGTCACCAGTTCATGTTCTCTCTGTTTTGACTGAGTCCAGTGTCTGCTTCGGTCCACATTCCTTACGATTTGTACTGTTGTTTTGTTGGCTTTTTTTCCAGATTGCCAGACAGGAGGGAAGGGTCATTTTAACCTCTGGACTCCCATATCAGACTGTAAGTATTCAGGGCATTTTTCTGGTGTTGTACCATTGCATGATGTGGAATGAGCAGATAGAGAAGAGGACCAGTCTGATGAGAAGGCAGTTGCTGTTTTGGCTTTTGGATGTTTCCTGCACTAAGAACTATGTAGGGTCCTGAGAGGCTGGCTGTTGTTTCTGAATGGCCGAAGGTTGAGGTGAAAAGTCTTCTACACACAGCACTTCATCAGAGGGGAGTGCAATTGACTTCCATTAAGGAAACTAAAAAAATAAAAAATCAAGCTCAGTAATCTCAGAACGAAGTGTTTCTGTTTGGCCTCACAGGCAGGTGAGAAGCAGCTCAGTTCCCATGCCTTTTATCACAGAGATCCTTGTTTACTGACTGGCTCCTCACTGACACAGTTTCAACACTTAGAGACTTTTCTTTGGGTTTGGAAGGGAGAGACGGAAAGCCACCAAGCATGAGTCCAAGTGGAAGCTGTGAAGGCTTACTGTTTCTAAACACACACACAAAAAAAAGCCAGCAGAGTGAAACCAAACCTTGCCCTCAGCACCAGATGTTCAGAGCCCTTTGTGAGACATACTTCAAAACAGCATTGATGGGAATATATTGAACCTGTTATATCACTGGTTGCAATGCTGTAATGCCTGCTGCAAGTCTGTTGCAGTTTGTTATTACTCAAACATTCATTTGGAAATTTCTCTGTATTACACACATGAGCCAGAGTGCAGGGCTTTTTTTGCTACAAACTGCTGATACGATAGTTCCCAATAACTCAAATAGTTTCTTAGAGTATTTGCTGAGCTTAGGTGGTTAATTTCCTAGATAGCAGCTGGGCACTGAGGAAAGCTCTCCCCACGACATGATGCTGTGAGGTGACTGCAGCTGTGCTCTGCTGCAGGTTCCTGATCTTGGCTGTTCCCAGAGCCTACAGCTGATGCAGCAGGTAATTCAGAGGCCAGCATGATCTTATTTGGTCAAACTTCAGTTTCAAAGCACCATGTAGAAAGTGCAAAAGGGAAATAACTGCTTTGCAGTGTACAGGACTGCCCTGGGAAGTATCTGGTACCTTTGCTCCTTGCCTCTGTGTGTGCTGCGCTCAGACAGGATGGCTGTGTTGAACTCCTTCTCACAAGTATAAGACGTGGCTGGGCCCAGCTTGCTGTCAGTGCTCATCATGTTGATAAAGATGTGTCGGAACCCTTCCCAGTCCTTTTTTTTCTTCACACTTTTCTGCCAAGTGTGAACCAAACATCAAGGGAGTGTCCACATCAATCTCTCTTCCAACTCTTTGGCCATCAGTGAGCTCCAGGTAAAGGTGGATAAGGGGTGAAGTGACAAAGCTGTCATCAGACACCACCTCAGCAGTGCCTTTACCTGCAGCATGAGATCCAGCCGCGTTTCACGTGTGATCAAACTCAGCTTCTAGCATTATTTGTAATTAAAACCAAACTAAGCAGGGGAAAAAGAGGGGGAAAGAAAAAACAAATTGGGATGCACAGAGTGCCTCATTTCTTTTGGTTTGTGCCTTGTCTCTTCCAGCTGCAGTCCCAGGTGGGGGAAGGAAGGTGCTTCTCTGTGAACTGCTCGGAAAAGGCCAAGGAGCAGGCGCTGCAGGTGCTGAAGCACTTCAATGTTCGCGTGACGCTGGCGGACATCTTCAGCCGCTGCCAGGTAGGATGAGTGCTGGCCATCGCACGGCCTTCTCGCTTCCTGACGCCCCAGCAGCCGCTGCATCTGCTCTTGGGGTTTTGCACTCTGCTTGGTTTCCAAGGTTTCTGCTCAAACTCTGTGCGAAGCCGTGAGTTTGGGGCCTGCTGACATCCAGCAGAGGTGCTGATGAGGTCAGAATTGCGGAGGCACTGCTCCTGCGCCTCGCTCCAAACTGCGGTGTTCCAGTTTTTGGTACTTGGCACGTGTTTTGGCATTGGCTGTTTCAGTTACATTCTCTTTGTTCCTGCGTTCTCTGTCTAGGACACACGCTGTTTTAATTATAAACCATGTTTAATTATGGCTCTGTGACTCTGATAACACTTAATTACTTTAATAGAAGGACTTTTTTTTAGGACCATTTCATTTCAGTAGCGATTAGGATAATTCATGTCCATGCTAGTTGATGACTCCAGATTGCGTTTGGCACCAAATGTCTGCAGGTTGTTTTTAAGAAGAAATTTTAATTGCGTTAGTTCAAATCTCCATCCTTTCCAATTTCTCTCTTGTATTTGTTACAGTGACACGCCACAGCCCATCCCTTCAAAACCTGTTATATAAACCAAATGGCAGCTTCACCATCTCTCACCTTATCAGCGTTCACATAGAGAAAAAGAAGAAACTGTAAAGCTCTCTGCTAGAAGTAAATAAGCCAGTAAATCCTGACTCTGTGCCTTTCAGTCAAGCTTAGCAGGGTCTGCTGGCCCAGTGCAATGCACATGTTCTGTAGAAGCAGCAGTGACTCCTGGGCAGAGAGCAATATCTAGAACTCTGTGTGTACCTGATGCTGGTTGCTGAAACCATGTCTGTACCCTGTAGCAAAAGTGAGAGTTGTCCATCTGTGCAGGTTGTCTGTAAGATGAGAATGATGTAACAGCATGTAGATGGGATCAGCGCAACGTGGGCTGATGGGCTGATCCTACTGCAAGATAAACGTGTGCTCAGGTGTCAGTGCGTTCAGTCTCGTGTTTTTATTGCTCCAAGAACGGATCTCAGTTGTTACGTAGTGACCTGCTGGCTTTTTTGCTGTTTAGAAAAGACAACTTACGGATTCAGTGATTCTCTGAGTTCCCATAACGTGTGAGTGCTCTTCCTGGTGGTTGTTGAAATGCCACCTGAAGGAGCACACACAAAAAAACCCTGCAGGAAACTGCAGTGTCTGTCATAAATGCAGAAGGCTGTGAAGCATCCAGTCTGAATCCAGCCCCTTGCTCACGGTCTGGGGTCTGAAACTGCTTAGCTGTGCAGCATTTTTAGTATGTGCTGTCTTAATTTACAGTATAAATAGGGGTAATCAATCTGGCTAGGAATATGTATGGAGTGTTATCTCACTTCTAGGAGAAATGCCTTCCTTGTAAATTGTGGTGGTAGAACAGCTGCATGTTTTATACTGCTAGGCATGGGAAGATGCTATTATTTGTCAAACTGCTCTGTGTTCTGAATCATGTATTTGCCTGCATTTAAGGCATTTCGGAGCTGATTTTGTTCAGCTGTCCTCTGCAGCCTATGCAAGTTTCATTGCTGTGATGCTGTTGCCCTGGGGGTGAATCCTGCAGTGCACAGCTGTCTCCATGCAGACACCGGCCCTGTGCAGCGTGTGGGGAGAGCTGGGGTCAGAGGGTTGAGTGGGATCAGGGTGGTGCTGCCTAATTGCTGCCTGAAGAAATGGCAGATTTCTGCTTTTTAAAGGGTCCTCAAGGCTGGCTGTGGCCAACAGAGGCCTCAGTGCTTCATCTTCAGGTTCTCTCTAAAGCATCCTAATTCTCTGCAAACATAGCACTTAATTAGGATGGAGGCTCCTGTTCCCCCCCACGGTCCCTGTTCTGGTCTCTAACCAGGTTACAGATCTCAGGGCTTGAGTTCTGCCACCTCCTCCCAGAAATGTGCATTGCTGATGGCTGGCTGGGACCTGGGACTGTCCCTGGAGCAGGGGAGGGCAGCAGGCAGGCCTGCCTTGCAGGAACACCAAGAGCAGGAGGTGCCCAGGCCACAGCAGCTCACGGCCAAGGCACAGCACACAGCTCTACTCACCAGCACTGGAAGTCCCTTATCAGCTGCAGTCACCTCACGTAGATAAGGGTTTGCTGCATGTCACAGGAAGCAGTGTGGCATCCTGCCTGCCTCGCACTGTCTCATGGAGCAAGGGTTTGTTTTGTCTCTTGAGCTTCTTGTGCAAATGATTGGAGTGAATACATCAGCAAATGTTGTTGCAGTAACAATTAATGCATGTAGTGTGGAGCAGATGGTAAAAATGGGGCTCAATTCAATGCTGTAGCCAGGATTGCTGTAAAATATATTTCCTACATCGGGTCCCTCAGTGGGGATGGACGGTTTCCATTTTGCAGATATAGAGAGTGGACTGGCTTTGTAACTCTGCCAGAGCACCACCACTTTCTGCTAGAACAATGGCAAACACCAGTTACCTCTGTCTGACTTCTCTCTGCAAGTGCAAGGAGAACTTTACCTATGTGCTTCTCACCATCTCTGCCTTCTGCAGCACAATTGCTCTGCTCAAAAGCCCCAGGAACAGAGGAGCCACCAGCAGGGCTGGACACATCCTTCCTGGTGTGCCCATCACACACATCCCTTGTGTGCTGCATCCTGGGGCTTGGTGGTGCTTGTGGAGAGCCGCCTGTGCCCAGCAGCCTGAGCCAGGGCTCCTGTTATCCTCAGTGAGGAACATACTAGATTACTTGAGCAGAAATAAAATGAAATTTGTCTTTTGATGCCAAAAGGCCTCAAGACGTTATGTGCTTCTTTAGCTTCAAAATCTGTGAAATAAACCTCTTTCCTCCATCTATCAGAAATGCAGATATGCTCATTTGATTATCTCATATCCACCTTTTCTTCTTTCCCAATAGTCAGAGGTCACCCTTTTGGGAGCGGCGATGCGAAGCGGAGCTCAGCACTGCGGTGCCTTTGGTGCCCAGCAGGGCTGCATGGAGCCGTCGGGGGCTGTAAGCAGCGTTAGGGCATCTGCCAAATGGCCTCGAGTGGAGGGTCAGCCCGTGCGGCACAGAGGAGGTTTTCAGGCACCCTGCCTTTGAGAAAAATCAGTGTCTGCTAATGAAGGTGTCCACGAGGACAGCTGTGTTCTGGGTCAGATGGGGGACAGCTGGGTTGTTTTACCTGGCGTTTGACATTTGGCACTCTCACCGGTCTGTCTGTGCACGGACTCTTGGAAACAAATGTGCTGCCGGCAGACATGGCCTGGATGACTGACTCGCCTTCTCCCATCTTGCTTTCTGTGCTGTCTCACTGAGTGGGGCAGGCTGCATCTGATGACCCCGAGTGTGGGCAGTGCCTCTGTTTGCTGCCCCATCTCACAGTGAGCCTCAGCCACCAAAGGATTTCTTTCCTCGGGCTGAGGTTTGGCACAGGACTGGCTGCCGGTGCCACTGAGACTCTACTTCTGCAAGAACAGCACAGATCTGGAGGGGCTGGGAGCCCCTGGCAGTGAGCAGGGCTCGGTGCAGACTGAAATCAGATTGGAACTGTTTATCTCAGGAGGAGATGAACAGTGTGAGTTGTTGCTTTTAAACCTGTGTATCACCAGTGTTTATCTCAGAGGTTCAAAGGGAAAACAGTGTGTGTGGTGGTAGAAAGGCTGGTAAATCCTTCCTGGTACAGAAGAACCCATCATGAAAGGTTTGTAACTGCTGCAGTCCTTGCTGGTTTGCAGTGCCAAAGGGAGATTCTGAGTCAGGAGGGTGCATCTGTCTTCCCATTGACCTGAGGGTGTAAAAGCTACCCAGCTAAGCACTGAGGTTTAGGGGGATTCTGCTGAGCTCATCCCTTGCGCTGGGCATGAGAACAGCGGGGTTGCCTTTGGGCTGATCCTGTGGCTGCTCCTGCTGCAGAGCAGGGACCCCTCCGAGCAGTGATCCCCAATGAGATCTGCACCTACAGTGCAGTGGGGTCTGCACCTTCTACAAAGTTTTGAAGCTTTCCTGTGAACAGAAACGACTGCCATTACATCCCCTGTGAAAACAAGCGTGCAGGGAACAAAACACCTCAGGCTCCAAGTGCAGTTTCTGCAACTGGACAGCCCTGCATTTGTTACAGGATTATCTGCAAATTCAAATAGGTCGTCTCTTTCACTTCACTGAACACTCTGATCCTAAATAAGCAAATGACATCACCTATTCTGATGTCCTGTTTAACTTATGACCTCAGCCCGAGCCCCGCAGGATGTGAGAGATAACTGCTTTATTTCATTGTCTGGAGATCTGATACGTTTTCTCTCCCCCCTTCCCTGCTCTTTCAGTTCCGCTCACCCCATCCCTTCGGAGAGGTGTTTGCATGGGATCAGGAGTAGGTGGGGGGCTGGAGGGGGTGGGAGGAGAGGAAACCACCATTTATTTTTTTCAAATGAGGTGCAAAAGTGTTATAACAGTTACAGCAAAGGTTGCTGGTTTTTGTGGTTAAGGTAACGAATTTCAGTGCTGCAAAGCTCATCATGTGCAAACTGATTTACGCAGCGAGCCTTGTACAGAGCAATCCATTTAGCAGGGACAAAGAGAAAGTCCTTATGATGAGATGAAAAACTCAGTGCTTGGGGCACTTTGCGAGAACCTTTGAAGCCGGCCTGGGAACTCTGGCAATATTAGTCGATAATTAGTAATATAGATCCCCCAAGCTGTTGTTTAGGTTGAAAATGTGCGCGTCTCTCATGAGCCTCTGTCACACCAATCTGATCAGCAGGCTTTTTTGTTCCTTTTATGTGGGTTGCTCTGTCGGTCCAGATGATGATGAGAACTCCCAGACATCATCTTTCTCACTTACTTGTGAGCCACGCAGCCATCTCCCTGCTCTGTCATGTCGTGGAAGTGGGACCGGGGCAATTTTGCTTTGTGGTCACCTTTCTTGGCCCGGACAACAGTCTTTTCATTCTTCTAAATGTAGCAGTTGTGCTTCCCCATGCTCCAGGGGAATAGAATGTAAAGGCTACGTATTTCATGAAC